TATATATATATATATATATATTATTGGTATCTGGTAATGACTGATCTTTACTAGGAAATCTAAGTCTCCTTGTTTAATCATGTTTTTCCATTCAAAGGACTCATGACTTTTTTACAAAACTCAAACAGTCAAACACAATATATTCTATTCGGATACTTTGCTTAAGTGTAGATTAAATTCTTCTTACGTAAGTGTACATAATTTTATTTCCATGTTCTCTCTCTCTGTATATTTTTAATTTGCATGACTATCAGTGCTAGATTTCAAAATGGATTATTTTGTTTTCACTCTATAAACCAGAAAACTCTCTCTTAAAAGAAGATAATATCAACGGTGCTGTTTTGATGGTTCACGCATAATTCAAGGATCCCATCTGACTGTTTTATTCTATGTTTATAAAATCAAACTTATTGGGTGATTATTTTCGAAATTAGAAGAAAAAAAGTAGGTCTTTTGTTGGTAATGCACAAGTATGCGGTAGGGGACAATATAAGATGGTTTGAAATTTTCCTTGTTTTATGTGTAAGGGTGTATTATGATGTCGCTTCGGTTTTTTTTTTTTTTTTTTGGTTCAAAATAATGTTTCTTTTTGTTAGTTTAATAACACCCCATATTGATACATCCAAGGCCCAAGGGTCTCTGTATTACTTGCTTTTTATAAATTGGTTTATTGGTTTTGTGTTTGTTGGATTGGTGCAGAATGCAGACCACTAGAATGGGCCAATGGTTATGTCTTGTGATATGTGTAGTACTATTACTGAAGGCAGAAGGGGTTCCTGTGGGAATCACTTTTGTTGAAAATGCAGTGGCAAAAGGAGCTGGTGAGAAATTTCTGTTGTTTCTCCTATGCTCTCCATCTTCTTCACCACTATTTTAGGATTGTTTATAATAGTTTGGAAATTGATGTTTTACATCTTGTGCAGTTTGTTTGGATGGGAGTCCACCAGCTTACCACTTCCATAAGGGATCTGGAGCAGGGATTAACAACTGGATAGTTCACTTTGAGGTATGTCTCCTTCTGCAAGATGGCATCAATAATGAGTTTTTACCAACTCAAGAAAATTTATTTCATTTGTTTACTTTATTTGTATGTTCCTTTTTATGTTTTGGGATTTTGAATACTAGTACAAATATTGCTTTGTTAAATGTCAACTAGATCAGAAGGTGAAATTTTAATTTTTTATTGTTGGTTGTTGTTTTGAAGTTTATAAAGTTACTCGGATAAAATGAATTTCGGAATGTGACATTTCAGAAATTGGTATAAGTTGTTTTTTTTTTCTTCTAAAAAAATTCCTAGGTCATTGTTGATTCTCAGGAAAATAGTATTCCCATGTTTTCCTATATTTTTATTTCAATGGTTAGGGGTGGGCATGCTGCCTGTTCATGGGAATGTTTGAATTCCTCTTCTAAGTCCCACTTTTTATTCTTATCACTTGAATTTCAATTAGTTTTCCCAATAGGAATAATAAATTCTAACCATTTAAGAATTTAACCAAAATAACATTCTTGATCGTAAAATTCCTAAAACTTTAATAATTTACCTTGAAACAAAAGTCCTCTTATAGTTATATTTTTTAATTCTTCAATCTAAAATTTGGTCCTTGAAATTATAAGGATTTAGATAGAGGAAGAGTGAGACAAAACAACTTTGAATAAGAAACATAATAAAATTTAATTGATATACACCTATTATATATAGGTTTTTCACATTACCATCCAATCAAATATTGTTATGATAATTTTGTTAACATTTATAATAATTATTTTAAAAATCATTCTTTGAGAATGTATGACATTACATGACAATTAAACTCGGTATATTGTTGATGCATGGTTGGTAATGATGCATTACTAAAGTCAAAACATTGTCAAAACATTAACCGCTTTTTATATTAGAGGAATTCTCCCAACATACTCTTAATTATTGGTTCATTTTCTAAAAGGTTCTTATAGTTGGCTTGTAAATTTTTAGAAATTGATTCCATAATTAAGAGTGTTTTGTTAGCATACTTCTTTATTCATTCTACAGATATGGTAACGATGGTCAATTAGCTTCTTCCTTTTGGTAAATTCTAGATATTTTCTAGATACAGTATATGAAATATTGGAAAGTTCTATTCTTTTGTCAATGATCTTCATTACAATTTCTTTTAGGGAGGAGGATGGTGCAACAATGCCACTTCATGCCTTGACCGAAGGGATACTCGTTTAGGTTCATCTAAGAAAATGGCCAAGGAACTTTCCTTTTCTGGATTTTTTAGTAATGGTCGAAAGTTCAATCCAGGTATTGTCTTCTAGTCAGTAGTCAACATATGTGTTTGGCTGTTTGTCCTCTTGAACCCAATCCTCAAAAAGCTTTATATTACAGATTTCTATGATTGGAACAGAATCAAGGTTAGGTATTGTGATGGATCATCATTTACTGGTGATGTTGAAGCTGTTGATCCAGTAAGTTTTACAAATTCAAAGGAGTTTTTGTGCTATAAATTTATAGGAAAATATTATTATTTCGTAAATTTCATAAGTTGATTTTTATTCTGCTGAGGTTTTATAATATGATTTATAAATCAGGCAACCAATTTGCACTTCAGAGGAGCAAGAATTTTTGCTGCTGTGGTTGAGGATTTACTGGCAAAAGGAATGAAAAACGCTCAAAATGTATGCAACATTGATTGATAATTTGCCAACTTTTGTCTTCCTCTTGAATTATTTTTTAATTCACTCACTGAAACTTGTAAATGCAGGCAATTATCTCTGGATGTTCAGCTGGAGGATTGGCTGCTATTTTAAATTGTGATCGATTCAAAAGTCTTTTACCCAAAACAACTAAAGTAAAATGCCTTGCAGATGCTGGTTATTTTATCAACGTGTAAGCTGCTTTAGTTTGCTTTCTACTTAACAATTTTTTCCTTAATTCAAAAGTAAGTCCTTTTGGATACTGTGTGGAGTCTAAATCATTTAATGATTCAATATGTTATTGTTGTACAACAGAAAGGATGTCTCCGGAGCACAGCGCATTGAAGAGTTCTACAGTCAAGTTGTTCAAACACATGTACTTTTCCTTTCTCTTTTTTTTTCCCTTTGCCATATGCTGTGTTTTACACCAAAACAATTGCTGTTAATGTTTTCACACTTTGTATTTAGAAGAAACTTTCTGAAGCTTTCTCTCAATGGAGTCTGACCTGACTTATTTAATTTCTTTATTTTAGGGCTCAGCAAAGAATCTGCCTTCATCTTGCACTTCAAGACTCAGACCAGGGCTGGTAAGTTTGTGAATTGCAAGTCTTCTACCTTGGCAACTTCGTTCGTGTTACTAATACTTCTTCTGAGCAATTGTGTAGTGCTTTTTCCCACAAAACGTGGTATCACAAATCAGCACCCCAATCTTTTTTGTAAATGCAGCCTATGACTCATGGCAGGTCAGATTATTATCTTTCTCAAGAAACATCATTTTACTTTTTGGAATGGTGTTCCTTCGGAATATTTTGGTCCTACTTATAACTGATACTGTGCTTATATTCATTGATCAATTGGAGGGCTTGTTTATAAGGTTAAGCAACATTGATTGGGTTATAGAAGACATTAAACTATTCAAGAAAATTCTAGTGTTGCTTCTGAAATTCATCTTTTCACAAAAATTCATATTGGGATTTATACAGAACAACATGATACACTTGCATAATAAAATTTAAAAAAAATGGGTTGTGAATCTAGCTTAACCTTACAAAATCAAATTTTAAAATGAGAATTATTCTCTACTTATATACTGTATTTTGGACATACATTGGTCAATGTAAGATCTTCATCATAACTCAATAGTAAAAATTTGCATGCATATCCAATCAGTATGGGTGGTTTGAGAACCCGTTTACATCAATGCAAACAAAAATTTACACTTTCCAATACACTAAACTAAGAAGCAAAAAAATTTTGTCTTCTCGATTCAAGGTAGTTTTGTAAATTTTCAACGGTAAACCAAACATGTATTATATAGTCAGAAATTGAGATGTGGTTTTTGTACATAATGTTTTTATATTATCATAATATTTTCCATGTCACTCCGAACATTTTGTTTTCCGATGAGAACAAGAGAACACTGTAAATGGTATATATAGTTGAATGCTGAATCACATTTGCCCTCCAATAGGATGTTTAATAACTCATCTCCGTCGTGAAGGTTCTAATTACTGTTTCCACTACATTAATAAATGATGACATCTTTGTCATATTTTCTCTGATCCCCAAAATATTGCTTTTATTCAGATCAAGAACATTTTGGCACCTGGTGTTGCTGATCCCCATGGCCAATGGCGTGAGTGCAAGCTTGATATAAAAAACTGCTCACCAAATCAACTCGGTGTGATGCAAGGTAAACTTTTGCTGATACCTAAACAACTATTTGTGCTATGCTTCAAGTCAACCTTATATAGCTATCTAAATTTTGTCCTGCCTCTGTCAACGCTCCACTTGACACATCATTTGTTCATAAACACAACTGTCATGAGAAAAAAACTAAGGCACTGGAATCATAACTGCTCATAATCTTCTACTATTTGGTTGAAGGCTTCTTGGGGCCTATGGAATTTTTGGTATCCACATTCTACACAGTTTATGACCTCATTTCATGCATGATTTCAGGATTCAGAACAGATTTCTTAAGGGCATTTAGTGAGGTCGGAAACTCTCCAACTAAAGGGAATTTTATAGATGGTTGCTATGCACACTGCCAAACTGGAACTCAAGAGACATGGATGAGAAATGACTCTCCAGTGTTGGCCAATACTGTAAGAAACTGCCATCATTTCCTCCTTTCTACGAATATGTGCATCTTTGTGCGGCTTTAGGTTTATCGTTGTCTTTTTCTTTCTTTGGATAAACTTTTTCAAAAGCACTAAAATAGAAAGGAAAAATAAAATATGTTTCTTTATAAGTTAAAATTAGCTTATTCACAAGTTATTTTGTAAAAGCTCTCCTATTTTGATTTCCTTCTTATTTTACTCTCTTAAAAATGTTTTTGGATAAGTTTATTCAAACAGATCTATAGACACTAGTAGGAAAAAAAAAAAACGACACTTTGTCTCTTCATGAAAAAAAAATGTTTCTATAAAAATATAAATGAATAGTTATTATTTTTATAGAGGACAATTATTTTTTTATATTGATGGTGAAAAAATTAGAATACACTATTGGAGTATAATTGTCTTTCAGAAAGTGGATATCGAAAGAAAATATAATATTATAGATGTTGAGATTAATTTTTCAGAAGAATTTCTAGGAAAATAAAAATAAGAAGACAAACAAAAATAAATTTTCCCATTGATTAAAACTAATTTTTGTACAAGTTAAAAGCTTTTTGAGAAACTAATGTGAGTCAACTTCTACAAATTGATTTATTCATTATTTTTCCTATATTTATCTTGTATCCGGTTGAAGTGCTAACTTACTTGCATATCATTCTACAGTCAATTGCAAAGGCTGTGGGAGATTGGTTTTATGATCGAAGGCCTTTCCGTCAGATAGATTGCGCATACCCTTGCAATCCCACTTGCCATAATCGTATTTTTGATCAGAATGAGCGTCCTGAAGTATAGATTCATTTGAACAGTGTGTATATCATTCCTACAAATTATACTTATGAGTTATTTGTTAACTCTTTGTTATTAAACAATATGTGATTGATGATTAAAATCTTCCAAAGGGTAGGCACCCTGATAAAGGACGGTAAATGGCTACCATGTAACCATAAAAATACTATCAAGTATCAATAAAGGGAATATTTTGTAATTTCCATAATTTTTTTACCTGTTTCTTTGCCTATAGTTGATGTACTAGTTAATTTTTATGGTAAGTTTTTTAAATATGATATAAACTAATTTTATTTTATGAGGAATTAATTTTATTTTTTTATAAGCATTTATAGAAAAAATTACCAGACAATCTTAAAAAGGATTTTATTTTGCATGCCATTTTTGTTGAGCAATAAACAGATTTTTATTTTATCCACTTCTACTTTCTTTATTTTTCTTTACATTCTTTTAGCATTATAGTTAGGTTTCAAATTTTACTTTTTAGTGTAACTTTTCGAAAAGGTGTTTGGTAGTGTTAGTTGGCACCACAATTACGAAAGGAAGAAACTAGAATTATGAAATTAACTATAACTAAAAATTACATTTGTTCTGGATAGGTTTCAGATCATCTTGTCGAAGACATCTCGGCTTTCAACATTGGTATTGAAAGGAGAGAATCTCAATTATAGGATATGTCTCAATAATAGTTGACAAGCTAAACAAGTGTTACTCTAAATAGAATAGTCTTCAGCATGTTGTGGTCCGTTGCTCTGTGATTGAGTTTAATAGAAAGTAACAATTGATTGTTACATGATAATTATAGGTTTTGAATATTCTTTGATGCTTTAATAGTAATAAATTCTCTCTTATTTAAATTTTTATACTTCACTTTCATAAGATACACTCACTCTTGAGAATACATCCGCAAGCTTTGAACTCCTACTAGTTTAAGTATTAGTTTCTTTGTAGATACAATCATCGATCCAAAGACTAAAAGACTTCCTAAGATTAGGAAACAGGACGAGTATTTTTCAACAAGTACATTTGACACCTATTATAAGATCGTAGAAAAATTTCCCTATAGTCTTTATTGATGTATAGATGTTAGAAACATGTGGATCACCAAGTAGAAATCTTGAGACACCAAATAGCGTGTGTATTAACATAATTGCAAAAAGAACTACAACAGTGGCGTGAGCAAAGCGAGGGGCAGCAAAAATAACATGAGGAAGAGATAACACTCCTTAGGCAGCAGAACTCTGAGATGTGACGATTGATTGAGCAGTCATAAACGAGTACCAAAATCCTCATCGGCGGCAACAATCCAACTTGGTAGTCGAGCACATTCGACTCCTCAGGTGACTCCAATTTCCCTCCTAGCACACATCCAACTAAGGTGTCAACCACTTGTGAAACTCGGGTCCCTTAGGCGTCACATCAAGCAGGGGTGTCGGCACCCCATTTTGTTGTCATTTCGAAAAAATTTTGCAAGTATCACTTCACTAATGATATAATGGAGGAACCTCTTCTTAGAGGTTGGAAAAACCTAGGACTAGATAAGTATGACGGAGCCACCAACCCCAATGATTTTGTCAACTTGTATGTTTCTCAAGTTAGTATGTTTATTAGTAGTAATGCAGCAATATGTAAGTTTTTTTTCTACTTCACTTAAGGAAGTAACACTGAGGTGGTTCATCCACCTCCCTCCTTGCTCAGTCAACTCTTTTAGAGTGCTTGTCTCCCAATTCTACACAAAATTTATTGTTAACTAGTCACATGCCATGATGTCAATTGCCCTAATTAGTGTCAAGCAAGGTAAGGATGAGCCTTTCCAAGCCTTCAAGGACAAGTTTGGAAAATTGACCCTTGAAATCCCAAACATGGTTGAAGGGGTTTTTTTACGTACTACACCAGATGTTATTGACCTTGAGGTTGGGCTCTTTCCTAGATACTCTTCAAGAAATCAGTGCCTAGTATAGAGGAATTTCACCAAAGAGCGGCTAAGAATATGCAAATGGAGGAATTTGTCTAGTTTCAAGAACATTCTAGTGAGAAACGAGGTAAGGAAAAGGTAAAGTCCATAAGAAAGAAAAGAGAAAGGGATCGATCTCGATGTACAAGAGAGCACAAGCCACCAAGGTACTTTTATTACAGGTCGTTGAATGATAGTAGCTCAAGAATCCTAGATGAAACATTGAGTAGTAACTTGATACCACTAGTAAAGTCAATCCCTATTCCTTAAAAGGCCAACCACACTAAGCATTGTCGATATGACTATAATTTTGATCATACCACCAAGGAGTGTTCGTCTTTAAAGACAAAATTGAGAAGTTGATACAAGTTGGACATTAGCACAAGTTTGTGCAGAAGATTGAGACCAAATGCCATGATTAAGGTTAGAGGTATGAATGCTAGGATATAAGGCATGGGAGAGAGGATTGCCCTCGGATGAATCCTAAGTTGGCTCCTTAGCAAGAGGATCATCCCAATTTTTGGTTGCGAGGGTGATTAATACAATTGCTGAAGGATTTTCTAGAGGAGATTCCACTAGTTCTATGCAGAAGAGACACCTTTGGACTATTAAGGCAATGAATGTTGTCGCCCCAGCTAACCCTCATGAGATATGCTACCTATCACCTTTACTGATGAGGACTTCAAAGGGTTGGATCCTTATCAAGATGACCGTATGGTGATTACTATGAAAATGGAAAACTTTACAACTATGAAGATGTTGTTAAACCAAAGTAACTTGGTTGACATAATATACATGTCCATCTTTCAAAAGCTACAAATTGTTTAGTCGAGCATTAAACCTTACAACTATCAACTGGTCAAATTCTTGGGAAAAAAGTTGACACAAGAGGCTACATCGACTTTGACAATGGCAACAAAGGAGAAGGACGATCAACATAAGATATATATTAATAAATGTCAATACCTCTTATAATGCTTTATTGGGGTGGCTTTCTCTTAATGAGTTGGGGTTTATAGTTTCACACCGCATCTTGCCATGAACTTCCCTTCCTTCACGAATTTTTTATAAAACTAACATTATTTTCATATATAGTCATCATAATGTCACCCTTTTGAGTTTATTTGTCTCAAAGTCATATTTTTATATTACGTTGAGAAGTCGGGTAAGAGGGGCCCGACTTCTTAACACATTATTTGTATTATTTTTTATTTTTAATTTATAAAATATATTTTTAATATAATAAATATATTTTTTTTCAACATATTGTATTATTCTTTACTTTTAATTTATAAAAATATAATCATAATATAATAAATATATATATTTAAAATGTTAAAATATAAATTAAAATAAAATAAAATATTATATTTATTAAATTATTTAAACATATAATATATTTTTAAAATATTAAAATAATATATATTTATTTTTTTATTTAGATAAATTTTTTAGAATTGTTGTAAAAGTTAATTTTTGTGCAATTTTATTAATATGTATGAGATTATAATGAATAAAGTATAATATTATTAATAAATATTAGGATAAATTAAATTTAAATAATATAAATTACAAAAAAATTACATGAAACATTTTTAAATTTTTTATTACTCAAACATAAAATATATTAAAAAAACATGATCATAATTATTGAAGTTGTGGACATTTTTTTCTTAAGTGTCCAAAAATTCTACAGTAATCACATCTTTTGGGTTAACTCTTTTCTCTGAGGTTAACTCTTTTCTCTGAGGTCAATCTCAGTGTATATGCTAGTAGATTTTGGGCAATCTTTGGAATTTCTTTGCATTTTTGGATGATGACACCATTTATCTCTGTTATATTTTGACAACTCATTTTCATCGGGCAATAATCTAAATGAAGTACTATATACCTTAAAAACATTTTGTAATTTGTAAACTGGAGAAATAAATGACATGTGATTCAAGTGAACATGTGCACTTACGACTATGACATGTGAACAAGGCATGTGTATCGCTTGAAACTTACCACAATCACACTTTTGTGTTTGAAAGAATACTCTGAATTTCTTTGGTGGTTGTCATCCACCACGTTCGTTTATTATTTCAAACACAATGAATGATTGATTTTGTCAATCAAACGTTTGAACTTTATGAGAGGTGGATTTTGCTACCTCGTCATCCATGGTTTTTTTTTTGACGATTTCTCCATATTTCTGACCAGTTGACAACATTGTATTTGTTTCATTCCCTCTCCTAGCGAATAATTTAGCTAGCTTGAAGTACATTTCTAGGAGCAATGATGATATTGGTAAATTTTGAGTGCCCTTAAGTACTAAATTGATGCACTCTACAAGATTGGTAGTCATGTGTCCCACCATTGACTTTTGTCAAATGCTTGAAGTCATTATTCCTTAAGTATATGATTAAGCCAATTGGTAGCGTCTGGATTTTCATGTAGAAGATCATTATAATAATGGTAGAACATGTTCTCCATCAATGCATATCTTGAGAAGTTAGGCAACATATAATTTATTATTTGTCAACATTAGAATTAATCACATAAAAAATATATTTTAGATGAACTAGTTACTTATGTTGGTCCCAATACACTAGAATCTAGAAGGGGGGTTGAATAGATTCTATCCTAAGATTGCTCTCTTTTTCGCAATTCTTGAATAATAACCTCTCAAGAAATCTAAAATACAACCTTTATTCAATTTGAGTAACAAACAATAGTATATTACAAGGTTTATTACTGATGTAGCAGAGTATCAAAGTATATGCAGCGAATCAATCACTTGTAATCAAGGTTAATTTTATATTACCTTCTTTTTAATCAGATTCAATTACAAGAATAAAGATCAGAGTTGGTACTATAATTGAAATTTTGTTTTTCTCAAATCTTTAAAAAAAAACTTTAAACAAGAAATCAACAAGATTCTTTAAAGATAAGTGTTAGAAGATAAACAACACAGAAATTTATACTGGTTCAACCATCCACTTGGCCTACATCCAGTTTTCCTTGATTTAGCACCCCACCAAATCAAAGATCATTCACTATAATATTGTTTACAAACACCTTGTACACACAATATTACAAGAATTTCAAACAACCCATCAATCTTGACACCCTAAGATTAAATACAATAAAAAATTTTGTATCCCACAAAAATTACTTGAGAAACCCTTCTCAAGATTTCACCATCTTGATGGAATCATGCTTTGGAGTAAAAGAGGTGACATACTCAAAGATCCAAGAGGAGTTGGCTAGACATAAAGGTTTGGGCCAGTCAGGGCCCATCGGGCCCATTGGGCCTAGGAAGGCCTTATAATACTTTGTATAGATAAAATTTTTAAACATATAAATTATATTTAGAATAAATGATTTATATCCTAACATAATATAATTTTTGTTTATTAGTTAAATAATATGATAATGCTAAAAGTAAAAAAGAAAATCAATAAAAGTTATGCAAATTCCATAATTTTAAGTTCTCTTAAATTTTCTTCGCTCAAATTATCAATACTTTTAATCTAAGGAATTGATTGGTTTGCTCGTTTTCTATTTCTATTTTCATTTTTTATTGAAAATAATACCAAAAACGTGTTCATTTTAATTTTTAAAAATATTTTTAGTGAAAACATTTTTAAAAAGAGTCAAAATTTGAAAATAAAATAATGCTGAAAAAATATGTTGTAAATCTGAAAATAATGTTCTTTAAAAAGTAATATATTTAATAAATTAATAAATATAATGTTTATATTCATTAAATGTTCTTAAGTATTTTAATTATTATAAGAGAAACATTAAAAGTACTCATCTAAATACATTTTTCTATTGGTAAGATAATGGAGTAGTATACATGTTTTAAATTTTAATTATATTATTATCAATATAATTTCTACTTATGAAAAATACTTTTTTTAATATAATTTTATATCCCATATAATTTTTTTTTATGATTTTTATAGTTTTAAATTAATTTGATTACCTTTTTATTCTTATAATTTCATAAACTTTACGTTTTAGTTTTTATAGTTAAAAAAATATCTTATTTTAGTTCCTATATGTATTATTTTTGATTTTGTCATTTATTTTTATAAGAATTAAAAGAAAATTATACCATTTGAAAGATAAATATATAAATTAAAAATTATTTTTAATTATAAAAATTAGAAAATAAATATTATGAGACTATAAAAAGTATTAAGCCTTTTAAATTTTAGGAATATTTTTTAGATTATTGATATTACTTTTAATCCTTTAAAAAAATATTTTATTCTAATCCTTTAAATCCAAAAACTCATTAATTTTAATCTAAAAAGTATTTTAAATAGTGCTTAAAATAAAATGTTATTCAAACTACTTTGAATGTCAAGTAATGTATTTTTAAATTAAAGTGACTAAAATAAAAAAATTATAAAAAAGCACAAAAAGAGAAATAAATTAAATTTAAACAAATTTAAAAGACCAAGGAATAAAGTTGGATTAAACTAGATATAAATAAAACTCATTCATATAACTTGGTGGCCAAGTAGTGTCACCTATAAATACTCCTGATCAATCCAATTCTTCTATCAAAACCATAACCCAAATTCCCTTCTCTTCCCTTCCCCCATTGTTTCTGACTCAAATCCCTGCTTCATCATCACCTCCCACAATTAAACCCCAATCACAATCAAAACCAAAACCCTAATCCCATTCTTCATCTCATACACAAAACCCCCATTCCAATGGCCACCCCCACCCTCCTAGGCCCACCTGAACTCTCCAACCACAAACCCACTCCACCCCAAACATCCACACCAAGCAACCCCTTCATAGACCAAATGGTCTCAAAATTCAACACCATCTCAACCCAACCACCCCCAAACATGACCCTCACAGAGAACGACTCCCCCACATTCTTAACCACCGGAAACCCATCTCTCGACTTCTTCTTCCACGTCGTTCCCGACACCCCACCAGAGACCCTCCTCCAAAGGCTCCACCTTTCGTGGGCCCACAACCCCCTCACCGCCCTCAAACTCGTCTGCAACCTCCGCGGCGTCCGCGGCACCGGCAAATCCGACCGCCGCAACTTCTACCCCGCTGCCATCTGGCTCCACCACCACCACCCCAAAACGCTCGCCGCCAACCTCCCCTCCCTCGCCGACTTCGGCTACTTCAAGGACCTCCCCGAGATCCTCTACCTCCTTCTAGAAGGCTCCGACGCCCGCACGATCCAGAAACAAGAGTGGCAGAAACGAAAAAGAGGGTCCCACAAGAAAAACCCGGAGAAATCCCAGAAGAAGAAGAAGAAACAAAGTGGGGAAGACCGCGATACCCAGAAGGATCAAAAGCCGAAAAGCGAGTCTTTGGGCCAAAGGGTCAACGTCGAGAAGGAGATCGCGCATGTCGCTCGAGGAGAGAAAAAAATTGCCCTGGCGAAAAAGCTCGTTGATCGCTACACCCACGACCCGGATTTTCGTTTCCTTCACGATCGCGTCTCCGAGCATTTCGCCGAGTGCCTGAGGAAGGATCTCGAGTTTTTGAAATCCGGGTCGGCCACAAAAATCAGTCTTGCCGCGAAATGGTGTCCCTCTGTGGACTCCTCTTTCGACCGTCACACGTTGTTGTGCGAGGCTATCGCCAAGAGGGTTTTCCCTCGCGAGGCCTATAAGGAGTACGAGGATGTCGAGGAGGGTCATTATGCTTACAGGGTTCGCGATCGGTTGAGGAAGGAGGTGTTGGTGCCTTTGAGGAAGGTGTTGGAGTTGCCAGAGGTTTTCATCGGTGCCAACCGTTGGGATTTGATCCCCTACAACAGGGTTGCATCGGTGGCGATGAAGTTGTACAAGGAGAAGTTTCTGAAGCACGATAAGGAGAGGTTTGAGGCGTACTTGGAGGATGTGAAGTCAGGGAAGAGCACCATCGCTGCTGGTGCATTGCTCCCCCATGAGATCATAGCATCGTTGAGCGATGCCGGGGGTGACGTGGCGGATTTGCAATGGAAGAGGATGGTGGATGATTTGTTGAAGAGAGGGAAGATGAGGAATTGTTTGGCTGTGTGTGATGTGTCAGGGAGCATGAGTGGGATCCCCATGGAGGTGTCAGTGGCATTGGGGCTATTGGTGTCTGAGTTGAGTGAGGAGCCTTGGAAGGGTAAGGTTGTGACATTCAGTGCTGACCCTAAGCTTCATTTTGTTGAAGGAGAGGATCTGAAGGCCAAGACTGAGTTTGTGAGGAACATGGAGTGGGGGATGGACACTAATTTTCAGAAGGTGTTTGATCTGATGTTGGAGGTGGCTGTGAGAGGGAATCTGAGGCCAGAGGATATGGTGAAGAGGGTGTTTGTTTTCAGTGACATGGAGTTCAATGAGGCTTCTGCTAACCCTTGGGAGACAGATTACGAAGCAATCACTAGGAAGTTTGGGGAGAGAGGGTTTGGGGGTGCAGTGCCTCAGATAGTGTTTTGGAATCTGAGGGACTCTAAGGCCACACCAGTGCCAGCCTCTCAGAAAGGAGTGGCTTTGCTTAGTGGCTTCTCTAAGAATTTGCTCACCTTGTTCTTGGACAATGATGGGGACCTTAGCCCTTTAGAGGCCATGGAAGCAGCCATTTCTGGCCCCGAATATCAGAAGCTGCGTGTGCTGGATTGATTAATTAACTACTGTAGAGAGTTTTTTTTTATTATGTTTCACAATAATTATAGAAATAAAAATACAGCAATTTTGGTTCATTCTTTCTTTCATATGATTTTTGCAGTTTGATTTATAGCGTGTTAGGAACATCCCACAATCACATCATCGATTTAAATTTAATCGATATAGAGCGTCTCATGATTTTTCATGTCCAACTGAAGATCAAAGATGGTGTAAATAAACATGCACGTAGAAACCACTTCACGTGGAGAGAAAGCGTTGATATCTGCACCTGCACGTACTTAATGCGTATTGGGAACACGTTTTGTAGGTAAAATATTACTAGCCTGTTTGCTTTTACGTTTGAAACTACCATGTGTAAAAATTTACATCATGAATCGCAACCAAACTTGGAAGCAACTATACGTGGAAATGAATAAAAAAACAATTATGTGTATACTAAAAGAAACATAAAAAATCAATTGTGGTGGTTGTCAGAAATAAAAAGAAAATAAATAAATTTTCAATTTATGGTTGTTTTGAACCCAAAATGTGTCACAAACAGCTTTTTCTTAATTATCAAGGGAAGCTGAGTTATCCATCTGGTTAGAATTAACCGTAATCACTTCTACCGGAGAAAAATAGATAGAAAAATGAAGTTTCTCCAATTTATATATAAATTAATTTGTAAACATTCTCTTTTATTAGCCTTTTCAAAATTTTATTTTTAATTTATTCATAAGTTAATTTTAACTTACAAAAAAAAATAATTTTAATTTTTCTTCTTATTTTACTCTCTTATAATTGTTTCTAGATAAACTTATCTAAACAGGTATCAGTTTATTATTCATAAATTCTGTTGCCTAATTTTTCTGACTTACCTCGCAACAAAAGGTGATAATTAACTTGTAATTTATGCTGGTGTTCAAGTCATGTTCAGTTCAGATAATTTCGTCATTTGTAACAAGTTTGTTAGCTGAGTAGGAGAATTAGAGAGGAGTAACAGAAAATCATGTGTGAAATAAATCGAAAATGGCAATAAACAACCCGAGGTAGTGAAAAATTGAATTATAAAAAGAATTTAAGAGGAGAATCAAATATTTATAGTATCTTATGTCCCATAAAATTACTCTTAAAATTTCAAGACTTATGATGTGTTTGAATGGGGAATTTATATAGGGTAATTTATTTATTTGAAGAATTTCAAATTTTTTGAAGTGAAATGCTTTGTTTGGATGAGGAATTTATAAAGAATTTGAAATCTAAACATTCGTAAAATTCCTTCAAATAGTAGAATTTCAAATTCTCCTAAAAATAGGAGAATTTGAAATTCCTCATATTTGTTTTCTTATTTCACCTATATATTTTATCTTATCTCTTCATTCTTTTAATTATTAGATATTCAAAAATATTTTTAAAATTATTAAATATTATCTAATATTAATTTTTAAAATTTTTAAATATTTAAAAATGGATTAATATTTATTTTTATAAAATTTAATTTTAAAATCTCAACATATAAATATATTTTTAAAATCAATTTTATTATGGTGGAATCAAATTATCATATTCAACCTAACAATTTAAAATTTAAGAAATTTGAATTGACTCATCCAAACAAAATATTTTAAGAATGATAGAAATTGAAATCAAAGTAATTCAAATACTAAGAATTTAAAATTCTTTAAATTTGTAAAATTTCTCATCCAAACACACGATTAAGGTACTGTCCCATACAGATTTGAATATTAAGTATCTTATGTATTCAAAGTTTCAACCAGTAATGTTGCCTTTGTCCATGTTGTTGCCATTAGTTGTAATTTTAGAGTGAGGCAAGAATTTTGTCCACCCATATTTTAATGACAAGACAATGAAGGCATGGGCGAATCTAGAAACTGATCAGTGCCGTAATTTATTTTTAAAAAAGTTAAAATATTATTACGTGAGATGAAATAAAATGTCTAATTAAATACAAATGTAAATTAGCCAAAGAGTTAAAAATAAAATAAAAATATGTAAAATAAAATAGTAAGAGAAGGATAAGACTTAATAATAAAATGAAAAATTGAGATAAGTAGGCTCAAACAAATAAGTTGACAAAAGATATAAATCTCTCAAAATGAATCTCAGTACTTCAAAAGATTAGTCTTTAACTTTTGAGTATATATAAGATGTCCTAATTTAAAGAAAATAAATAAAAATTAGGAGTTATAGTAAAAAAAAAAACATTAATATAATATATGCTTGCAATTTTATCAAAAGTTGCTTGTGAAAGGTGATTGTGATGTTTAATGTTGTGGTTTAAAGTTGCAAGAATTTGTAGTGACTTAGAGGTTCTTACATAGGATTGGAGTGGAGAGACATGCCATTTATGTATAAAACTAGTTGTTTTATAAGAACTCCTTAGAATTGGGTTTTGTAGGAAAAAGAAACAAAAATTGGGTTTTTTTTAGTAAAAAGAAACAAAATTAGTCTATTGTAAAACCCAATTAAGAATACAAGCTAAGTTATTTCATTTATTAAAAAATTCTTAAAATATAAAGGACCACATAAAGAGTAAATTAGTCACCCAAAATAAATTCTTTTCCAAGTAGATGCTAAGTCAAAAGGTTTTTTAACAAATCCGTTGCACGTGGTTTGTCTGGTGGGATCAAGTCATGTATTTGTTTTTTTCTTATACTCTGATAGTGTGATGATATAGAACAAAGGTAAAACAATTAAGGATATTTCTTTAACTGGATTAGTGACTTATTCTTCATCAACAACTATTATCGTTATGTATTGGTAAGGATCGGAGAAAATTTTGGATGTGGCATGCATTGCTGTTTCTTTTGTTGGTACTGCAATAATGTTTTTCTTTTGAGTTACACCATCTATAAATCTACAAATTTTATGCCCTCATGTAGTTGTTAAAAGATGTAAATTTAAAAATGTTAAGTAAGAAATAAAACCCTTTCAGTTTGTAATATATTAAATGTTGCATTTTCGTTGAATATTTTGTTTTTATTTGAACAAACGTCCTTACAACAATTGAGATTCTTATAATCATATATAATTAGACCTGATGTAATCTTTTTGATCATCAGATGTAGTTTTAATATAATTTGATCCTTGATTTTTAACTATAATTAGATCTGATTATGATATGATTTGATCCTTGATTTTTTTTTCCACTTTTAATTTAATTTATTTTGAAATTAAATTGGCTAGAGGATCTCTCCAACCAATACTATTTATTTATACCTCTTTGTAATTCAATAAATCAATGAATAAGAAAATTATTCTCTTTTCTTGAAGTACAATTTCAATGGTTATTGTTCTTACCGGAGATCGGTCGTGGAGGACAATCTGCTGGGCAAGATTGGTGAGCTTCCTTCGCTTGGTACGTCGGCTGTTCCGGAGTGAGAGCGGTACCTGTAAAAGAAACTTCGATACTAAAATTAATATTTGTGAGTATATGAATCCCGTATATATAGTGTACGTAAATTAGGGTTTATCTAGGCCTGAGGTCAGTTGTGGCCCGTTCAAATGATGGACTTTTACTTTGGCCGATCTCTTGTAGCGCTTATTCGATGTCATGCGGGGCTCAATGCCGAGTTCGAGCTCAGTACTGGACGCGGATAGTACAACTATGATTATGAATGTTTAATGCGTTTAATTTGAGCTGATTTTTAAGTTCAAAGATATGCGATTCAGTTATAAATTTAAATAATTAATTTCAATTTATTTTTGGCGTGATTCAAGATAGCCTTCATGTTGCTTCAAAAAAAAAAAAGATAGCCTTCATGTGTCTTTAATGAGCATCGTAAGTGGTCATTTTATTTGGTAGATGACTAGAGTTGTATTAATACCTAAATTCTTAACTGAGACGGTAAGTAACTACTATAATAGGTTTATTAATGGTATTAATTGATAAAATCATTATCTTCTTCACTATGAGATCTTTATTTTTTGAGCCTTCAGATTTTTATACTTTGTTTGGATAAAGAGAAAAGTGTAAAAGAGAAAAATATAATATAAAAAGTAAGAGAGAAGAGAGAATGAATAAAAAATGAGTAGATTTTTAAAATGTTTGGATTAAAAGAAGAGAGAGATAAGAGAGAAAAAAAAAACAAGAGTTGAATTTTCTTTTCATTAGTTTGGTTGGAGAGAAAAAAATAAATTTTGACATAAAGACATTTTTACCCTTGATATATATAATAGATTTTGTAAAACAAATAACATAAAACTATTTTTTCAGTTCTCTACTTCCACTAAAAACAACAAAGGGTTAAAGAGACGAAAATGTAAATCATCACCACATGTAACTAAAGATCACCAATGTCAATAGATAAAAGCTCTAAAATGAAGATAATTTTTTCTTTTGATGAAGACACAACTAATACCAAAGCAAACAGATTAAGCCAAGAAATAAAATTAAAATACGAAAAAACTCATTTAAACCTAAGCAAAAGTTTAAAGATTGGAGTCAAAGATTAAGTTATATTTATATAAATACTTTGCATTTCAACCTAGTTTGGCTCTAATGACCCACTTAGGTAATTATAATAAAAATGATTTTCCAAAATGATAATTAAAAGAACCAATTTCATTATAAAATGTTTAGAAACTTAAAATTTTTTATCATTAGGCTAAGACTTGAGACTCATGAAGAAAATTCTATTCTTTAAAAGTAAAATTCAACTTAAGCAGAAAAAAAATATACAAAAATTTAAATCTTTATCTATAAGACTCAAATCTTTTACAAAAGACTCAAATCTCCTCAGAAGAGACTCAAGTCTCAACGACCAAAAATAAGTTTTATAATTTTTTTTTAATCTAAATCAATCTTACATATTTTATTTGAGTTACAAAATTAATCATATTTTATCATGCTAATCCTTATTTAAAAAAAATGTTTTTTCAAATTTTTCTTTTCAAGAGAGAACAATTTAGAATTGGACCCTTAGTGAGAATTCTTGATAAGTGTTATCAGGGAAAGTTGTGGATGTAAAAGAAAAACTTGTTACAATTATTAAAAATATTAAACATGACTTAAGGATTGAAGGTAGGTTTTGGAAGAAATTAAGATAAATTATAGTGTAATTTTTTTTTTCTAAATTCTTCTCTTTATTGTTTTAATTATTTTTCATTATTAGTTCATATTCTATGTTTGATCATGCGTTTTGGACACGATTTTTTAACGTCTAAACCGGAGCTCTTTCTCCTTCATATTCTTTCCGATAAATTTTTTTCGAAACATGGTTAACAAAAAATAAATAAACTTAAGTTATTTAAAATAAAGATAAGAAAAAAAAGGTGTTCTTTAATTTCAATTTGTTATGAATAATAATTAGTGGCTTAATTAGTGGATGCCAATATTCATTATCAATCATTACCATTTATATTTTCGTTATGTATTATTCCTTTTATTGTATAATTGTTCAGTTACCACATGTACTTATAAATAGGTTGGTCCTCTCCCAAAGATAATACACTAATCAAATTCTTTTCTCCATCTCACATTATCTTATTTGTTTTCTATATTTTTCTTCCTTTTATAACACAATTATTATTATTATTATTTAGGACTTATTACATGAAAATATAACAAACATTCTTTTCGTCTCCAGAGTTATGAAACTGATATAAGCCCACTTCGCAGGACTAGGGATAGGCATCCCCCGTTTTGGCTTAAGGATTACAAGGTCTAATTGGGCTTTCCTTTTGGACTAAAATGTTATTGTATTTCCTTTTTTTATCTTCCACCAAGTCTCGTAGTGGGCCTGATGACCCTATGTTCCTACGGTTCACCTCACTATATATCTCTTTTGTAATGTGATGATGAGAAAATGAAGAATTATCACAATTTTTTTTATACAGTATTTCTTTCTTAGGTTAATAGTAGTGTTGCCCTTATCATCTGGTGCTTTCATCGACCCTCATACCCCCCAAGCATAACAAGGACCTTGAAGATGCCGTGCAAGCCCTCACGGATCATCTCAACACCATTACCCAGCAGCATGATCAACGTATTGACCAACTCCAGGCAGCCATGGCTCACCGTCATGATGCTCTCACTAGTACCAGTGCCACCCTGATTGAGAAAGTTCAAGCTCTTTCTATGGCTAATCCAAGCCAAGGTGCTCACATACACTCCACCAACACCTCTACAGCCCCACCTGTGATCCTCGTGACCTCTGGGCCCTCTTCCAACACCACACACCTTCCAGGTTTCTCCCCTTTTCCCCCATATTTTACCCCATTTCCTCATAACCCTGGTCCTTCCCATAACCCATTTCAACAATTTTCCTCATATACGCATAACCCTCCTTCCAACCCAAACCTTCGCCTCCCCAAACTCCAACTAGCCCCTTTTGATGGCTCACATCCTTTAGATTGGATTTTTCAGGCCGAGCAATTTTTCTTGTTTCACAATGTGGCCCCTGAGCAACGTTTGCCTATGATTTCATTTTATATGAAGGGTGATGCCTTAAGTTGGTTTAAATGGATGCATTTTAACCACCAGCTGCAGGATTGGGAGTCATTTACCCGTTCTTTAGAGCTTCGATTTGGACCGTCATCCTATGAAAACCACCAACAAATGTTATTTAAACTTCGCCAACAAGGGTCCGTCATCGATTATCTCCTGACTCTATATTACATTGTTTCATCTCTGGATTATTACCTGCAATTCAAGAGGAATTAGCCCTCCACCGCCCCCAATCCATCAACCAAGCCATTGACCTAGCTAAACTGGTTGAATCCAAATTGTCTGCTTCCAAATCTCGGACCTCCCCTCGCCTTGTTCCTCACAAACCCTATTCTACCCTTCCACCACCCAAACCCTCCCTTCCAGCTCCTCCGTCTTCAACAGTTGGTTCTACCACTACTTCCCCAACCCTTCCTGTCAAACGTTTGACCCAAGCCCAACTCCAAGAGCGACGTGCCTTGGGATTGTGTTATAACTGTGATGAGAAGTTTCACCCCACTCACTGTTGTAAGCCCAAACAATTTCTTCTTCTCCTCACCGAAGATGATGACCCTCATTCCACTTCTCCTATTTTTGACCCCTCTCCCCCTTCTTCCCCACCCCAAATAGACTCAACCATTCTCCCTCTCCAACTTTCCCCTCAAGCTCTTATGGGTTCCCCTTCACCCAAAACCCTAAGGTTTCAAGGGTCAATTGCGAGTATTACTGTTACTATTTTGGTGGATACAAGCAGTTCTCATAATATACTACAACCTCATTTAGCCAATCACCTAAACCTTCCCATTAACCCAATTTCCCCTTTCCAGGTTATGGTTGGCAATGGTGACACTATTCAATGTACGGGCTTTTGTCCTCACGTGGATCTCACTATTCAATCCCACAAATTTACCATTCCTTGTTATCTTTTATCCATTGCTGGAGCAGATTTGGTTTTAGGTATTGCTTGGTTACAAACATTGGGGTCCATCGTTTCCAATTTCTCTGTTCCTTGCATGACATTTACCCACGATCATACCCTTATCACCTTATTGGAATCTACCAACCTACCCCCTACTCAGCTTCCTACCCACAATTTCTCCACTTCCTACACCATGATGCCATTACCTCCTTACACCTCTTAACTTTTACCCAAACCCCTTCACCAGATACTGAACCTACTAGCCTTCCAAACTCCATTTCCCATCTTTCCCCAGATTTTCAAAAGATAATTCTCCAATACTCCACTATTTTCCATACGCCCCATGGGTTGCCCCCAGTTTGTTCACATGACCACCACATCACCCTCCTTTCTCACTCTTCCCCAGTCAATGTTAAACCATACCGTTACCCTCATGCACAGAAAGACACCATTTCCTCCATTGTTTCTGAATTATTACAGGAAGACTTAATTATACCAAGCCACAACCCTTTTTCCTCCCCAGTTTTATTGGTTCGTAAAAAAGATAATACATAGCGTTTTTGTGTTGATTATCGGGCTCTCAACTCCATTAACATCAAAGAACGTTTTCCTATCCCAACCATTGATGAACTACTAGACGAGTTGGGCAATGCTACTATTTTCTCTAAGATCGATTTGCGCTCGGGGTATCATCAAATTAGGATGAACCCCAGCGACACCCACAAAACTGCTTTCCGCACTCATGACGGTCATTATGAGTTTTTAGTAATGCCCTTTGGGCTTACTAATGCTCCGGCCACATTTCAAGCAGCCATGAATGATCTTTTACGCCCTCACTTACGCAAGTTTGTGCTGGTTTTTTTTGATGATATTCTGATTTACAGTTCCTCTCTTACTGATCACCTTGTTCATGTTGATTTAATTTTACAGTTATTAGCTCACCATTCTTACTTTGCTAAATTGTCGAAATGTTCATTTGCGGCCTCCTCTATTCACTACTTGGGCCACATTATATCAGCCCAGGGGGTCCAGCCAGACCCATCAAAGGTCCAAGCGATATTAGACTGGCCTCCCCCACATAACCTCACTACCCTGCATGGCTTCTTGGGCCTTACAAGATTTTACAAGCGCTTCATTCACCATTATGCAGCTTTGGCCGCACCCCTCACGGATCTCCTACGTTCCAATACCTCATTTCAATGGTCTGATACAGAGATGGAAGCATTTAAGAAATTACAAGAGGCCCTAACTACTGCTCCTATGTTAGCCCTGCCCGACTTTCGTGCTACATTTGATATCGAAACAGATGCTTTCTCCACGATAGTTGGCGCGATTCTCCTTCAATCTGGCCATCCCATTGCGTACTTCAGTAAAAAGCTCTGTTCTAAACTCCAAGTTGCCTCTGCATATGCAAGAAAAATGTATGCAATTACTGAATCAATAAAAAAATGGCGGCAATATTTAATTGGACATCATTTCCGCATCTTTACAGATCAACAAAGCCTACGACACATGTTCTCACAAGTTTTTCAGACACCCGAAAAACCCGATCAACAGAAATGGGCAGCAAAGTTACAGGGGTTTTCTTATGAAATCTTGTACAAACCTGGGAAGCAAAATCGAGTTACTGATGCCTTGTCCCGTGTTCCTGATACCCAGAGCTCATATTTCTGGCAATTTCCACCATCATCCCTGACATTGTTGAGCAGCTCAAAAATTTCTTTTCCACTCACGCGAATGGTCTTGCCTTAGTCCGACAGCTCTCTTCTGTTACACACGCCACGCCCCATTTCACAGTTTCTCATGGCTTGGTGTATTTCAAAAACCGCCTTTTCATTCCCGAGATTCCTTCCTTGCGCTCATCCATTTTGCACGAGTTTCATGCCTCACCTATGGCTGGTCATTCTGGTGTCAAAGCCACTTTAGCTCGCCTGGCGGCTTCCTTCGCTTGGCCAACTATGGCAAAGGACGTCAAGGCTTTTGTCCGCTCGTGCTCCACCTGTCAACATAATAAATCTGTTGCATCTAAGAAACAAGGCTTGTTACAGCCTCTACCGATACCAGCCAAAGTTTGGAATGATATTAGCATGGATTTCCTTACCCATCTTTCGTCGTCAGTTGGTCACACAGTCATTTGGGTCGTCGTGGATCGCCTTTCTAAATATGCGCATTTCATTGCCTTGCCCACACATTTTAATGCCTCCTCCCTGGCTTCCCAATTCATGATAGAAATTGTCCGCCTCCACGGGTTTCCGCGCACCATCGTCTCTAATCGGGATAAAGTTTTCCTCAGCTCCTTCTGGCGTGAACTTTTTCGCCTTCATGGCACCAAACTCTGCTTTTCTTCCGCCTACCACCCGAAAATTGACGGCCAAACGGAGGTGGTTAATCGAGTGCTGACAGCATATTTACGTTGCTTTGCAGGGGACTTCCCACGCCATTGGTACCTCTTCCTTCACTTAGCCGAATTTTGGTACAACACCACACTTCAGTCAGCTTTAGGCATGACTCCCTTCCAAGCTTTGTATGGTCGCGCTCCTCCCGCTTTTCCAGATTTTGTGTCGCCACCCACCACAGTTGTTTCAGTCGCCTCCCTCCTGCAACAAAAAAAGATGATTATGCATGTTGTCCGCAATAACCTTCGTCGTTAGAGATTAGGCAATTGAATAGTATATAAGTGGAAAGCAACCCTCACCTTATAAGCCGGTTTTGTAGGGTTGAGTTAGGCTTAATCCACTATTCTAACATGGTATCAGAGCCATTTAGATCCACTTTAAAAATGGGCCACCCACCATTGATGTATGTCACATAGGCGTGAGGGGGTGTATTGGGAAAAACCCAAGTCCCGCCAATCCTAGATCATTAAAAAGGGCCACCCACCATTTATCCACGTACCAAGCCCAATAGTGCTGGACGTGAGGGGGTGTATTGGGAAAAACCCAAGTCCCACATCGACTAGAGATTAGGCAATTGAATAGTATATAAGTGGAAAGCAACCCTCACCTTATAAGCCGGTTTTGTAGGGTTGAGTTAGGCTTAATCCACTATTCTAACATGGTATCAGAGCCATTTAGATCCACTTTAAAAATGGGCCACCCACCATTGATGTATGTCACATAGGCGTGAGGGGGTGTATTGGGAAAAACCCAAGTCCCACATCGACTAGAGATTAGGCAATTGAATAGTATATAAGTGGAAAGCAACCCTCACCTTATAAGCCGGTTTTGTAGGGTTGAGTTAGGCTTAATCCACTATTCTAACATGGTATCAGAGCCATTTAGATCCACTTTAAAAATGGGCCACCCACCATTGATGTATGTCACATAGGCGTGAGGGGGTGTATTGGGAAAAACCCAAGTCCCACATCGACTAGAGATTAGGCAATTGAATAGTATATAAGTGGAAAGCAACCCTCACCTTATAAGCCGGTTTTGTAGGGTTGAGTTAGGCTTAATCCACTATTCTAACATGGTATCAGAGCCATTTAGATCCACTTTAAAAATGGGCCACCCACCATTGATGTATGTCACATAGGCGTGAGGGGGTGTATTGGGAAAAACCCAAGTCCCACATCGACTAGAGATTAGGCAATTGAATAGTATATAAGTGGAAAGCAACCCTCACCTTATAAGCCGGTTTTGTAGGGTTGAGTTAGGCTTAATCCACTATTCTAACATGGTATCAGAGCCATTTAGATCCACTTTAAAAATGGGCCACCCACCATTGATGTATGTCACATAGGCGTGAGGGGGTGTATTGGGAAAAACCCAAGTCCCACATCGACTAGAGATTAGGCAATTGAATAGTATATAAGTGGAAAGCAACCCTCACCTTATAAGCCGGTTTTGTAGGGTTGAGTTAGGCTTAATCCACTATTCTAACATGCACGTCAACGCATGGTGGCTCAAGCCAATAAATCCCGTAAAGACATTACCTTCAACCCCAGCGACTGAGTTTTTTGCGTCTTCAGCCGTACCGCCAGCTATCCTTGGGTCGTTCCACATCGCAGAAGCTTCGTCGACATTTTCAAGGGCCTTTCCAGGTGGTGCGTCGCATTGGCGCTGTCGCGTACGAGCTTGATCTGCCTCCTCCGCGGCGGTCCATCCAATTTTTCATGTTTCTCTTCTCCGGCAATTCCACGGCGAACCACCTCGAGCCATAGCCACACTCCATGGTGAAACCCCTGAAGCTTCCCTCGAACTCTCTCTCTCTTCTCCCACACATGATGCAAATAATAATGCAACCCAGTCTGACTTTCCACTTCAAGGCTCCACTTCCGCGCATCCAGAAGACTCCATCTCCACACAGCCGTTGGATCAAAGCTCGATCCGTGGCCCTCAACCCTTGACCGCATTTGTGCCATTCACTAAAAACACAACTGCCACATCAGATTCCCATTTGGACTTCGAGGACGAAGTCATTTTTCAAGGGGCGGGCAATGATATAAGCCCACTTCGCAGGACTAGGGATAGGCGCCCCCCGTTTTGGCTTAAGGATTACAAGGTCTAATTGGGCTTTCCTTTTGGACTAAAATGTTATTGTATTTCCTTTTTTTATCTTCCACCAAGTCTCGTAGTGGGCCTGATGACCCTATGTTCCTACGGTTCACCTCACTATATATCTCTTTTGTAATGTGATGATGAGAAAATGAAGAATTATCGCAGTTTTTTTATACAGTATTTCTTTCTTAGGTTAATAGTAGCGTTGCCCTTATCAGAAACTTTCGAGTTATCTTATTTTAATTACTTTTATAACCCATAAAAATATGAAATATCCTTTTTTCTGGTTGAAAACATGTTAAAAGGGGTTTTTCTTTCTCTTCTTTTGAACGAGTGGTCCACGAACCCAATGATCAGCAGATTTTATTACTTAGGTTATCGGTTGACCGGTTTTATGTATTTTGCATATGGATTGGGGTATCCTTGTATCCTTTTTAATACATTTATTATTTTTAGCTGACAAAAATAACGTGGAAGGGGGGCTAAAACACTTTTCTTTATTAAATATTTAAGGGTTATAAAAAATAAAAATAGACTGATTGTAAACAAGGTTATAAACTTTGGGGCTAATATCATTTAATTTTTAAAATACACTATCAATAGAGAAAAGTTAATTCATGTATTTTATAGATTAATCTTTTATTTCAGTAATCAAACTTTAGACTTTTGTATTTAATATGAATGACAATACTAATTGTCTATAAAAAATGCTAATATATTTTTTAACACCTTTAGTTTCTTACTATTGATTAAAACTTATTTAAAACTAAAATTTATTAGTCGAACTCATTAAAAAAAAAAGTAAATTTCACAAAATTGTATGATTCTTAATATATACGAGAGCATGTGAGCAACTATTTAGTCTTGGAATATGTTGTGTGCTGATAATCTGAGACTTAGGAATATGTTTATTCATTTAATTCACACGAAACTTGGAGAAGGGTGGCTAACAAGTGCCGACAGTGAGGGTGCTTTAAAACACAAGTAGAAGCTTTATTCATTTAATTCACATGGAAAAGATCCGTTTGTTTTAGAATTTCGAAAGTGTAAATTTGGTCTTTTTTTAACAATAAAGCCCTATTCTTCCCAAAAGAAAATGTCCGCCACGAGCAGAGATCTGAACTATGAAACCATCTTGTGATTGCAATACGGTTGACAAATTTCTTGCATTACTTTAAAAATCCCACTAGTGACTACTACGTGCGCAAATGCAACATTAGTTGAAAGACGTGCATACACTATTTACATACAAATATGTGACAGCTTACTAAACCCTATTCTTCTAGGGTTAAGAGTGAAAGAAACCATCAAAACTACTAGTTACAGAACCATACACCTAAAAATATATAATAAATAAAAGATGGCTACTGCTTCTCTGACACGAGAAACGAAAAATGGTTTTGTGATCTTTGCAGCCAATAAAGGTCGGGGGTTAAAAATAGACGCAATAGGACATACCTGCCTAACTACAACCGAAGAATGGTTCTAAGTGTGTCGGAGAGATTTTGAATAGTTCGCTGCTCCTGGGTTGCTTGCAGCTCCTGAAGTGGCATATCTTCGTAACACCTAATAACAAGCAAAGAAATTAGGTAACATTAACATAGATACTCCATACAAGCCCAGGAGGAGCAGAAAGAAATCATTTGATCAGAATTCAGATATCAAGGGTCGTAAAATCTGTGCTTTATTGACACCCACTGGGAGGGAAAATCTTGAACAATTCCCCAATTTAAGCGTCGGCACAAATAAATGACTATAGTTTTTTTCTCATAGGATAGAAAGTGGTAATTTTTTCAGATAATAATACCAACAATGAATTCACCTTTTGATTTTGTTACTGAATTCTAATTATCTCTCCCCGTGATTCCCATCTCTCCCCTTTTTATATATGCCATGTAGATTCGTATAATTTCTTTTTGTACCAAATAGCATAACACAAATTTTTCGCAGTGTAAAAGTTGAGGGACATACATCTTATGGTAAGCTAAAGCCTGTGCCAAATTCATTAGAGTAGAACTCGACGTCAATCTTTGGTAAATGCTTGGAGGAAGAGGCATCTGCTGCATGTCAATTAGCAAACCTATATAAATGACCTTAACTAACAAATGTGCAGATACAAGTGTACAACACAAGTACACACACACATACAATACACAGTTACCTCATTTAGTCCTCTCCGGCCCTTTTTGGATTGTCCATCGCCGCTAAAAAGCTCTTGCAATGCTTCCACTGTTCCAGCTCCACTGGTATCCTGTTGCATGACACCAAGTACATTGTCTGACAGGAGAGCAATAGGTGATATATCTGTTGCCCTTAAGAATGGGATGGGCACTGTGTTACCAGCAGCATAAATGGACCAAAGCTGCAATAGCACAGAAATTAAAGTAAAAAGGCAAGTCTTACAGAGCAATCTCACAACAAGAGACATTCATGATGGCCAAAAAATATATAATAGATTGGACCATTAATTCTAGAAAAGAAAAGAAAAGGGATAAATATTTGCCAAATGAAGGATGCAGGTAGATATGCCTCTTAGAAATCTCGTAGCAGTGATTCTAATAACTAAACAAAAAATATTTGCTCAAACAGAGTGATCTCATAAAAAATACCAATGTTTGACATCATAGATATAAATAAAATCACAAAAAATACCTTATCTTGTAAAGCAAATGCTTTACGGCTGACTGTTTCACCCTTGAATAAGCTATTGTTTATATCATTACCAATTCCAGCTTGTGCTCGATGACTACCTTTTTTGAGGGTCTGCTCAGTTAAATTACTAACATAAGGTAAAGATGATTGAATGGTATTGGTCGCAGCACTAGGTTCTCTAAAAGAGACGGTGTTCAGAAGACCAACTTTCTGACTTTCAATCCTAAAAGATCATCCACAAAGAAAGCAAACTACATTAGGACACAGGAAATGAAAAGGAAAAGAGACGGAGAGGCTCTAATAAGCAAATGACGTACATTTTACAAGTTTGCACATTCAAGACTGAGAATTAAGGTTTAGATAAAGAAAGAAAGTGCTTTCTTCAAAATATAGGTAGTAAAGGTAAACAGATAGGTTAGTACCTAGAGTCGGCCAATCTGCCTCCTGTGCCACTGGTCAGAGCAGAAGTGGAAACTGCAGAATCTGCATCCTGTGTGGTCTGATTTAATTCATCTCCATGGACTATAAAAGTGCCAAAGTTGCCTGCCAATAATCCACATAAATCCTAATGTTTTATCCCCTAGAAAAACACTTAAAATAAAGGCTTCCATTTCACCAAAACTTAAAACTTAATATTTTAGAACAAACAACAACAAAGCCTCATCCCACCAAGTGAGATTGGCTACATGGATCACACTATGCCATTTGGTACAATTAGAAACCAAAGCTTCAGGAAAGGTAAATACCGAATTTTATATATTAGAAAAGAAAAATAAATTAGAAGTCTAACCCTTTGTTTGAATTGAAGGAAGAAAATGAGGGGAGAATTTTGAAAAGATAAAATTTTGAATTTTTTGTTTATAGTATTTTCTTTCTTCTCTTTTCATTTTGTCTTTCAACCAAACAAGAGAAAATTAAAAACTATTAAAATTGTCCTTCCCTAATTCCTCTCTCAATCCATAGTCATACACCAACCAGATGAGGCAGATGGAAGAAAGGAAATTTGGGAAAATCAGGCACAGGGTTTAAGAGGGTTTAACATAGTAACCTCCGACTACATTGGTATTCTTGTTATATATCACCTGGTCTGCAACTCAACATAACCAGCAAGCTCTTGAAGTTTACACCACCCAGATTATTCAGTAAAATTTGAAAAGCTCGTAGTGCTTGAAATTTTGAATAATGAATAATACAATTATTAAAAATGAATTGGGCATAATTCAAAACCAAAAGATAGCTGCTCAAGGGGAGGATAGCTCAAGCCTTAAAGGAGTATGCTGACTATATTCTTAGTCAATACATGACATCTTACAACAATAAAAACCAAACAAGTATAAACCATCCTACGCAAGACATCCAGGGAAAAACCATATAACATATCCAATGGTTCAGCTGGAAGAGGTACAAGAAATGTCATAAACTTAATAGACACCACTAAAGACACATTTCTAATTTATTTTTTTTTTGGTAAAAAGCTAAGGCAATTTTATTAAAGACAAGGATTTCTAATAGCTATGACTTTCTAACGATTCTCACACATACACATGCACACCCATTCTCACTGCAGGAGTCCCTCTTCGCAGATAGCCAGACTAATCAACCACTTGCCCTCCCACCCTCAACTCAACCTCACCTCTAAAACACTACTAGCAAAATGTAAGTTATAAAAATTAACCATCATAATTCACACAATATCCCAGAATAGGATTGAGGATTTAAGTAAAACCTCTGACCCACACAAGTTAAAAACATTTGACAACTACTAACTACCATCAAATCAGTCCCACAATGGCTTAGTGTCCAGTTTGCAAGCTGCCAAAATCAATTCCTTGCACCGTGACACATGTTCAAACGTAAATTTGCGATTGAGATTAATTTGGACACATCCCACATATGATCGATGGCTCAAAATTAATTTTATCAAAATCAGTTCTACCCAACTTTAAAACAAACAGATCCTAAGCATGGTAGTCAGTATCGCATGAATCTCGATATGATTGGATTTTTCCCAATACACCCCCTCATGGCCAACACTAATGCGGTTGATGCGTGGATAAATGGTTGGTGACCCTTTTTAATAATTTAGGATAGACGAGATTTGAGTTTTCCCAATACACCCTCTTACACCCAGAGCACTATTGAGCTTGACGCGTGTATAAATAATGGGTGACCCTTTTAGCAAATTTATGATAGTTCTAATATCATCTTAAAATATAAATTCAAGTCTAACTCAATCCTACAAATCTAACTTGTAAGATAAGGATTGCTCTCTACTTATCTGCTCTTTGTATGCCTTATCTTTAGTTGATGTAGGACTTGAGTTTTTTCTAATACATCCGAAGTGGGTAGGGTCATGGGCAGCCTGGTTTTTAAAACCCTAAAAAAAATTCCTTCAAAAAGTAGGGTAAAAAGGGAGGAACCAGCCAATACCTCCCCGCCCCCCTCCCCACAAAGGAGACCCAGGCTCCTCCTCATTAGAAACATTTCTACTTGTCTCCTTATTTTCTTTTCTTCTTTGTTTGGTCTTGCTACTGGTTGGCTGGTGGTCCCTTCTTTGTCTCCTGATTTTCTTTTTTTCTCGTGTGTGGTGGCAATCCTTTTTTCTCTCTGGTACTAGTCAGGTGGTTGGTCATTTTTGGGAGATGAAGATAACTTGAGTGATATATATCTTGGGGTTGGGGATGACAAAAGATCTTGGATAGGGGCTTTTTGTGTTTATTTTTTGACTATTGCTCTTTGTACGGCAGCAGCAGCCACTGTTTGCTGAATTTATGCAACAACAGCACTGTTTTATTTTTGGGTGGCTAACTGCTGAAGTTGTGCAGCAGCAAACAGTCACCATTTTACGCATTTATGCAGAAATAGCATTGGTTTTTTTAGAGGCTATGCTGTTAAACTGTGCAGACAGCCATTTTTTTGGACTTGTGGCTGTTATTATTTGTATCTTTGTATTGAAGCTTATATGCTACTATATATATGTCCATGTTTTCATTTTTCATGTTAAAATGTTCCTAGAGTGCTTTTTTATGTCTTGTATATGTGTGCGACCATAAATTCGTTCAATGCACCTAAAATTTAGAGCTAAAAGAACAAAGCAAAATAGTCATATCAGAAAATGGAAAACATCAAGAAATTACCTTGTACTACATATATGTACTTTTAACAAATTTCATTCGTCAATTGGATAGCACATAACCTGTTAAGTGCTCCTCAACACAAATTGGACTGCATCCCTCAGTTGTATTAGCATTAATTTTTCCCAAGAGCTTTACAACTTCTTCAATTGTCTCAGTTACATATAGTAATAACATATCAAGTTCAACCCTGCTAACATAAGTTAAAATATTGTCAGCAATGTGCAAGCTAAAGATAACCTGTGGAAATAACATCTCTGAAAATTCAAGTGACATCAAAACTAACCAAAAAGTATACATATGACCAAGGTTGTCAATCTCGAGAGTTTACGTAATCTCGTGGAGGCTCCGTAAACTCGTATCGTAAACTCGTATCGTAAACTCGTAAGAGATTACTCAATAATAAATAAATAAATAAATAAATAAAAATAACATAATAATTAATGTGTTACATCAATTATTAATATGTTATGTCAATTGTCTATGTGATATATTAGTAATTAATATAAATATAAATACACGTTGAAAACTTTTTTAGATTAAGGATATTTCTGTATGAAAAAAATAGGGGTGAAAGTGCAAAAATTATGGGCCGTGTAAACAGCATTGATGAGCCCACTTAAATTCGGGGCCAATATACAAAACTAGCCCATCAAACCTGATCCAACGAGACACGACCGGTGTGCATCCTGAACCGGGTTTAACGAACAAAATTGCAAGAATCGAAGAAGTTAGAAGCTAGTTAGATCAAACATCTAAATAGAGATCGGAGAAGAAGAAGAGAAGAGAATGGGAACGACGGTGGCGGGTCTAGCACCGGGTCTGTCACGAAAGCTGAAGAAGGTTCTAGAATCGAGGATCGACATGTCTGATCTCTTGTCTTCGCTCAACTCGCGCAGACCAGGTGTTCCGCTCGCAGTGGAGTCGCGCGGACCAGGTGTTGCGCTCAAGGTGGAGTCGCGCGTAGGGGAGAGGAGACTCGCGGAGGTGTCGCACGGAGAGGAGAGAAGATGCGCGGAGGTGTCGTACGAAGGAGGTGAGGCGCGCGGAGGAGTCGCGCAGAGGAGGTGAGGCGCACGGAGGATTGAAAAAAAAATGGTGATCTCTTAATATCGGAGGTAGTCTCGCGAGTTTACACGAGTTTACCCGAGTTCACCGAGATTGCTCCGAGTTCACTAAAAAACGAGTTTACCTCCGAGTTGTACAGGTAAGCTCTTGTAAACTCGTAAACTCGTACGAGTTTATGAGTTGTCACTAGAGATTGACAACCATGTATATATCTATAAGGATTCACTAACTCTAAGTGTAACTCTTGGTAAAGTTACTCCACTTTATAACTCATGATATCATTTGAATTTCAACTATTCATCCGTTGAATTAAAAGTTTTTAATGAATAGATTAAATTTAAAATTTTTGCAAAGTTTGAAAACTATATGATTATTGACCATGAATCTTACAATTCACGATATGATTCGATTCATGATTCAAAAAATAGACTTTCCGATACATAAATGGTATCCTGATTCAACAAGTATGCTCAACAAATGTGGTCCAATTGAGTGCTGCTAAATCTGAGGGCTACACCTTCAAGCATGTCGCCAAAGTCAAATTCAGTAGGCTATGAAGACAAATATGTATCCCTACTACCTTTTTGAGGCTCATTTCATACACCACAGAAGATGAAACATACTCTAAGTCTAAGTAACATTAGGTAATAATCAAAATTAAGAAAAAGATGTTAATTCACATATAAGATGCAAGAAACACAAACCTTCATTCGTGTCTACATCTTCTACCTTATGTAGCTTCCTTACAGTGCCATGTGATGAGAGATTAGCAGCTCCCTCAACACCAACGTTATGAGATCCGGATGGAATAGTATTTTCATATTCATCGTTTAAATTTGAAGCTAACTGTAGAGGGAAAAAAAAGTGTAAGTTATTGTAGGAAACATTCCATAACAGATTGTATACCTTAAATCAAGGATATTTATTTGTACTTTTATCTAAGATAAATTATGGGGCTTGGCTCTAGTTTCTTTACTGTTAAGGCAGTAGGTATATACATAAGCCCATGTATTGTATAACTGTTGGAAATAGGAATATTTTAGGAGATAGGGACTCCTTATGTTTATTTTTCCAAGTTGCCTAGATACTTTGTATAACTAGATTCATTGCATCATAGGTAGTAGTTTCTTAACTGTTCTCTTGTAAATTGTTTCGACATTAATCATCTTTGTAATTCTCTTGTGTATAAATAAATTCATTATGCAGGATGGTGGTATCACTCAAACATATTCAGAAAATATTTGTTTCTCTTAACATGGTATCAAAGCTCCTAATCTAAGGACGCTCTGCTTCCGCAAACAAAGGTTCTTTAGACTTTTCGACGACCGCCATTTTACCAGCGACTTTCTGGCAACATTCCAAACTTGCTGACATCTTTTCTGGCCCTGTTCCAACAATCTCTACTTTATCAGTACCAATTTTCAGTGTTTGCTGATCTGTGTGAGCAGTACCAATTTCTTTTATACATAGCTGATTGTCTCTCTTCTTTTGGTCTTTGTTCATTTTCGAAGACCTTTCTTCAGGTACTTGTATTTCAACATGTTCAGGTATGCTTCCTCTTTCATTTGGATTTAATGTCTCAAACACTCTACCATTCCATCGGGTTCTTGACTGTTAAGCCACAGACCATATGATCCTATCATCTCAATTCTTCTTCACATTCTCCATGTCCCAGCAGTAAGAAAATAGTCACTGCAGATGTGTTAGAATACAAGCAGTTATGTATTCTAACAAGTTGGCTCTCATGTAACTGTAGCTGGTATAGGGAACATCCAAATAAATCCCTTCATTACCCTTAAAAATGTTCTTCATGTTCCAAAGTTGTCCACAAATCTTATCCCTATACAAAAAAATCTTACAAGGTTGCATTGTTATTTTTCATAATAATTGTGTATTTCAATGCAAGGAATCTGGAAGCACGATTGGGCATGCTAGTGAAGGGAATGGCCTTTATCTTCTTGATGTTCCATGTGTGCCTCATACAAAAAAAAAAAAAAAAAAAAACCCCCATTCCTTCATGTCAGAGTCTCTACTGCGAGAAAAGGAAAATATTTTACTCTTTCATTATCAGTTAGGACATCTTTCTTTTGAAATCACCGATATTATGTTTCTATCTTTGTTTTCTGGAATAAAAATTGAATGTCTTCAATGTGATGTATTTGAAATTGCAAATGACAACCGTGTCCCTTTCCCCATTAAGTAACAATAAAAGTTCATTTCCTTTTTATCTTGTTCATACTGATGTTTGGGGCCATCTATTCCAAACGTGTCAGGGGCTTGTTGGTTTCTGTCTTTTATTGATGATTGGCTCAAGACAGGGGAAAACTTGATCCTAGGGCCCTAAAGTGTGTCATTGTTAGTTACTCTTATACTCAAAAAGGGTACAAGTGTTACCATCCTCCATCTAAGAAATTGTGTGTCTCAAGATGTCATCTTTCATGAGGAACAAAATTATTTCTCTCAACCTTATCTTTAGGGGAGAGTCTTAGGGAAGACAAGGACATTTTTCTAAATCACTTGGCTTTCCAACTCTCGAATTAGATTCTCATCATTCTGAAAAAGATGCATCAACCCTAAATGAATATGATAAAGAAGTTCCAACCAGACCTGAAAACAATACAAGGATTGGAAAGAATTTGATTTACATAAGAAGATCAAGTATCATTCCTGAATCAACACATGCCCAAGAGACCAATCCAACTCCTTCGAATCAGGTAACAAATTCTGATTTTCCAATTTTAAATTATGCTTGTTTTGGCATTAATTATCTTTGTAATTCTCTTGTATATAAATAAATCCAATCTGCTGGGTAGTGGTATCACTCAAGCATATTCAGAAAATATTTGTTTCTCTTTAACTATAACCTGTGAGTATCATCAGAACTAAGAGTAACATGGGCTACTTCTGCTTCAGATTAAGAATATGTATTGTAAAACACAAAGAAATTGCTTTCTTATTGAATTTTCCAATCTAGAAGGTAGATGATAAGAACAAGTCTGAGTGGATGTACATGTGCATGTGTAAGAGCATGAGAGGAGGGAAGATTAAATCGTACCTGATCTTCTGATGCTGCTGGTGCAAGAGTTTGGGCCTGCAAAGCCATTGAAGCCCTGATTTGCCTTGCCTTTTCCAGTTTTGGCAACATTGCAGCAGATCCACTTTTCCACTTTTCAAAGAATTTGTGCTACACAGCCATAGAAAAGACTTTAACTTGATGTAAAATACAACATTTAAAGAAATCAAAAGATAGGGAAAATCAAATTAGTTTCATGAAGGCATATGTTGGGAGTTTGTCTAGTCACCCATCACATGCCATTACATGCAGCAGCCAAAATAAAGCTCATGCTTGATCAACAATCAGTTAAAGAATTAATTTTGTAGTTCTAGATAACCAGACTATGCTTCAGAATCCAATATTATTTAACTTATAAATATATGTAGTGGACAATGTTGAATATTGAAAAACCTTATATATCCATTAACATTTTGTTTTATTGTTAATTGTTCATTGTCAAGTCATAACAAGAATCAAGTTTTACACTTTTATTTAATAGGTGAAACTAAAACATAATATTGAAAAGAAAAAGTAGCTGGAAGAAAACAGAATTAGGTTAGAAAAGTATCAGTATATTCCATCTTAATTAGTGTGTCTTAATCAATCAGATAAGGATCTCCATATGTATTGATATTTTAAAATCAAATAGCTCACTAAGTAGAAAATGAAGTGAAATATAAACTTCAAAATATTCAAAAAATAATAATAATAATAATAATCATTCAAATTCCACTCTCTAACTCATAAAAATGTTTTGTAAAAAAAAGCAGATATAATTTACTACTTTAAAATTTATAAAACCTAAATATCTATCCACTTTTTAAAAATCATTAAAATCATAATTATATAATTCCTCTTTTTTCATTACATACCAGCCACCAAACAACAAAAAGAAAAACACTTTGGTCCATGCCCAAGTGAGATACAGCAGTACCTCCTAATAAAGACACCAGACCCAGGGCATGCTCTCTGCACTAGATTTATCATACTTGATCAATTTTGTTGTTTAGTTTCAACAGGATCAATGTATTAAGCAGGCTAACCCAATCAAAAGAAAAATTCATGGCCCATTCTAGAGCTCATCCACTCCTAGTTGATGAATGAAACATGAACTGACGACTCTGTTCTGCAACTTGAACTGAATGAAACAAGAAATATGTCTTTATTCATCAACAACCTAACTTAGGACCGTAGGAGGGAAAGATTTCATCATTTTCCCTCTATTTGTATTATAAAAAAAAAATTACAAAAAACTCTAAAATCAGCTTTTTTTCCAAAAAGGGTCACACAACCCAACCCTTGTATTCAGTACGACCCAACTACAAGAATTGCAGAATGAAGCTCAGTCACAACTCGCATGATTCAAGCTGCATTTCAAGGACAAAAATGTGTCCTCATGTGATTTGTATTGATTTTTGAGGAATTGTTTCAGATTGGGATCCAAATAGTACAATTAGTGTGATTCTAACTACCATGGTGGTGAACAACTGTAAACAAATCACATACGAAAAATTTCTTTTATCTTTAATTTCTAAAGTTAATGACAACTAATTTCAAACATTGGTTTCACACATTAGTAGATGAAATGAAATGATGTTTTGAACACTTCGGCTTTGAAACTTCACTTAAAATCTTCATTTCATTTCTAAAGTCCAAAAGTTCATAGTAGGAATTCAAAAAAATCAAACTAGTTGCCAATAATGCTTGGAGTCATAAAAAAGATAAAGAATTGAACCCCAAGAGGTTCATTTACATTAAAATGAACCTAATTGTACTACCTCTGGTCCTAATTATAAGCAATAAATTGGATTTTCCTTGGTCCTAAATATAAGCAACAATCATTAGTTTTTAAAGTTACTTAAACGTAAATTTCTTTCCTGTCCTTAATTAATTGCTAACTCTATTTCCTATGCGTCTACTTATAACTAGCATTAAATAGAACAACCACTTAATACAAAGGGTATCTTTGGAATAAAATTAAAATTTATGGCAGAATTAATTAAAAACAATCAACTTAATTACTTTTATTGGTCTTGATGACTTGTCCTATGTTGCTTATAATTAGAATCGGAAGTAGTAATACATATTAATATCTCGAAGGGGAGTGTAATTTTTAAAATAGGAGGCAAAGTAGTTTAATTTAAGCCTCACGCAAGGGGAAAGAGTATAATTTACTCTAAAAATAACATTCGTTGAAAGCAGAATTAATACTTCAAACTATATTCTAAGTAAAAAGAAGCAAAATATAAAGGCATCACAATAATAAGCTTTTCTACTTCCTCTCAACTTCCTATCTTGTCATCTTTTTCTATCAAGATACTGCTAAATCTCCCAAATACAGATCAATTTCATTTTTTCTTTGTGTGCCTCTCTTGTTGATTTCCTTCCTCTATTTAACAAACAAGGACAGCTCTGAACAAATTTATGACTCCTAATAGTCACTAAATTTCATAAGAAACAATAATGTTAAGCATACCTTCAACATCTCAGATGCTGTAGGGCGGAGACGAGGTTCTTTTGTTAGGCACTTTGCAACAAAATCATGGAAATATAGAGACCTAAAAAAGAAAATCAAATTTAAATCATTGTCATACACAAAGATATCATCACTAAATAGAGACAGTCTCAAACACCAAGATGTGGCATCGGCACCAAGAAAATGATAATAGGATGGTAGACTTACTGCTAACTAGCAATTATAATCTGGGTAGTTTATGTTGCATTTATACCATTAGACAAAGAAAGCACCAACCTTGCATTATTTTTTGTGGGTTAAGAGAATAAATCTCATTAAGATAAAGAGAAGAAATTACAATGATTTTTGAGTACAAGGAGTCCTCCTTAACTTAAAAGCATCAAAATTGTATTCTTAGACTTCAACAAATGACAGTGTATTACCATTTGAATGAATGTGTTATATTCCCAGACTGGGAAGTAGAAAGGAACAAAAGAATGTGTGAGAATTTGTTTATGTAGTTCAATATATGAGTTCCTTGCCTATACATATCTTAGAGCATGTAGCATAGATATACAACTAATAAAAGATAGCACCTTACTAAAAATAAGGCAAGATAGGAAGAAAGTTATGCTTTCACTTTCACAAGTGGTTTCAATTCAACATCATCTTTGTCTTTTTTCAAAGATCTAAAAAAGTATCCAAGTCAGAGATTGTATAGTAGAAGAACTTGCAGCAAGCAGTTACACACTATTTGACTTTATAAGAGACAAAAAAAGCACAACATATAATATAATATAGCACATTGAAAAAGATCATTAGGATATCTAAACCAAATTTCATTATAGATCCTCATGTAACTCTTCAATCTTAGTTATTTGCAAATTAGCTGTAAAGGTATAACTTGGATAACTATAGACAACAGAAACAAACCATTTTTCTTTATCCTCAAGCATTGGAGCTGGTTCAATTGATATCATGAATAAAACCTACAATTAAAAAGGAATAAAATACATTATTATACACCGAAACCCTCACAAAAAATATGCCCTTACCAATGGCAAGTAAACAGTAAAATAACTAAGTGTTTATTAATAAAAATGTAAAGAATCAAAAACTCCTTGCATCCCTTCTAAAATGTGTTACCCTGGTACATTTTATTTTACAGCAATCAACTGTTAGGCCTATTTGGGGTGGTTGTGAGTTTTTTTTTTGGTTCTAAAATGCAAATTTCAAAACGAAACATCTTTGGATAAAATGAAGCAAAATTGATTTTTAACTTCGCCATCATCTCAGTTTTTGACTTCATTACAATGTTCTTACCGCTTCTAAGATTGGTGGTGATTCTGTGTATAAAATGTGAAATCATAATTCATGAATTTCTTTAATTTTGGATCTTTTAGCCTTTTGAGAATTTTTGTGTAGTATAAATTATAAACTAATAAGTTTGTATTATAATGTTTAATATAGCAGCCATCCCACTTCCTGCTATCCAACTATAGCATTTATAGAGTTGGCCGCTACATGCCACTATCCAATATTGATAACTACATAGCCTAGGCCAAAATTCTTAAATAACTAAAATCTAGAACCTCTTTCATGACTAATTAATATCCATAAAATAACTCACCAAGCAGTTATCCAAAATTACAGTCCCCCTAAAATCACCTACTCGATTACCCCTTCTATATTTATCTGGGTTAATCTTCTGTTTCTCCTTCACAAATTTAAAAATCAACTGACAGTGAAAAACATGAATCAATAGATGAAATGACAAATCATCCGAACATATTATGAACATCAACATAATTACCAGTTAAATATTACATATGAGAAGGGCCAGGGGCAGAAGAGATCATATGTAATCAATAAAATAACAGTCAATGACAAATAAGTACTTAGTTACTAACCCTCATTGGATGTACATCTGATCTTGGAGGAACACCCTGAAAAGTATTGTAACAGATTTTAAGCATCTCTAAGCATGAGAATGAGTTAATTTTTTTAATGATCGGGATAAAAAGAGACCTGACATAAGCCTTCTATTCAATTACATTATCTGATACTGTAAATAACAGCCCACAAATAACAACTCACCCAGTTTCTCCATAGCTATAAACTTATGAGTACTAATCAACATACACATAGAAATTGTACACCTGACATTCACCCAGAACACATGGCTAACCACGTGTTAATATGATAAGCACCTAACCAAGTTATTAACCACTGACACTGTCAATAATTGTATACAATTATATTCATTTACTCTTACTTGTGAGGCAAAGTTAGACATATTTACACATGTAATTAACCACGGGTGACAATCATTAACCACTAATAGAAATTTCAATAACCTCACAACACTATTAACCATATGTAATTAACCACGTGTGACAGTCATTAAACACTAATAGAAATTTCAATAACCTCGTGACACTATTAACCATATAACCAATAATTGGATACAATCATGTTCATTTACTTTTAACTACTTTTGAGACAAAATTCACCATATCTACACACATAGTTAATCACGTGACAGTCAATATCCCCATGACATTATTAACTACTTGTGAGGCAAAATTAAACACCATTGGACAGTTCAATAACCTCACACACTATTAACCACATTATTTTATATTAAATCACGTTTATTTACTTTTAACCACTTGCAATAAAGACCAAGTTAATCATATTTATACATATAGTTAACTGCGTATCCGGATGGATGCCAAGTGAAAAATCCCCGGGTTTACATTGCTCTTTTTCCTAAACTTATAGTATCTTTATGGAAGAAGAGCAAAATGGGGGAAAGGTAAAAAAATTACCCAGACGATTTTGGTTATCCAAAAGGGTGCTTGAGCTTAAACTAATAATTTGTTCCCCATACCACCTTAGAATCACTTCAGAAAGTGTTAATCAAATAGCAGGTACGTACAAAAAAAATGGGAAAGAAAAAGGAAAAAGGTATCCCACATTGGATAAACTACCAATTTACTCAGAAGCTATGGAATTAAAAATACAAGCAATGGTTATACCTCAGCCATTTCAATAGCAGACACACCAAGAGCCCAAACATCTACCTGAAAGACATATTTAAATAAATATAACCATATCAGATACAAGTGTGTCCAATAATTTAATCATAATTAACACTGCATTTTTCTACACTCTGAATAGTGATACTTTGTAAATAAAAACAGTACTGAATCAAAATATTACTGATTCAATTCCATGTTTGCAAAGATACTGGTAACTGTCCTAGTTTTCTCTTAAATAAGTAATTTAAAACATGTACTAGATAAATCACAAAGTCAAATGTTCTAGAGAAATTTCAATGTGATAGTTTCTGATCTTTGTTATCTGTCAACTTTATATTTGCCTTGAGGGAATAGACAATTCACATGCTTATACTGTCGTCATCTTAGACATCTTTCACTTCATAAAGCAGCATCAACTATGCTTTAACCAGTTTTCATTACTTTGACTGCTTATTCTTTCAGAGTGATTTGTTCTAAAGTTTTTCACTAGACTGCAGATGCTACAATTGCAATTTCTTAAACAAGGTTTCTAAAGACTAATATTTTACTTCGTATATAATTACTTATAATTTATTACCATCACTTCCCTCTAGTCAACACTATTTGCATTCCTGTTTATGATTATCTGAACTATTAACATATGAAAAACAGCATAATATTGTACTTTTCATTTCCATTTCAATACAATTCCTTCGTCCAGTTAACTAATAACTGCTTTAATGCTTATCAAACGTGCAAAATTTAAAAGACTTTCACATCTCAAAGTAGGTCTGTGAGATAGCATGGAAGAAGTATCTTGAAACTCACCAGTGTCAATTTAATAATTTTTTGTCCAAATTTAAATAAAACTTACTGTACGCATATAAATATAGTTGTCTGGCAATATAGTACAACAACTTTTCCTCTTAACCTTAGAACTATCTACAGAAGAAAAACAAAAGGAAAATGGAAATAAAGCACGTAGGAGACACAGTACAGTGCCAACAAAAGAAGGCAAGCAACCAAGTGAACAAGGTTCATGATCTCTGAAAAGCACAATACCTTTCCATCGTAGCGACTTTCTTGAATAACTTCCGGAGCCATCCAGTGAGGGGTTCCAATGAACTATAAGCACATTAAACTGTAACATCAAAAATCTTGCCATGATAAAAAGAATGAATAATATGTCCATATAAGAAGCAGAAGACCTTAATGCAAGTTGTATTCTTTTAAATGAGCACACGTCATTTTCAAGAATTTTTAAGGGCATGTATAAGGTTAAAAAAAAAAACACCTCATTTCAAGTCAAATTCTTAGGGAAAATACTTTAAAATTTAAATATAATCTTTCTATAAACATGCTATCAGAAAGAACATGCTTAAGAAGCCAACACAAATATATAAATATGCCAGGTAGATGTTTACAAAGTCAGGGGTCATGTTTAATTTATGTTAATAAGTATAAACAGTTTATTCAAATAGAAAACTTAAAGATATGCTGTCATTCCATAGGCTGAGCACTTAATGGCACCCAACTTTTGCCCTAATTTAATATTGTTCGAAAATGGAAATATTGTGAATCTGTGATGCAAGTAAAAATACTTTATTTTCAACCCCTTGCAATTTAATAAAAAAAATAATAACCTTACATCTAAACCATAACTGGCATCTAAGCATTTAAAAAACCATCAGCCCAGTTTATTTATATTTATATACATAACATGCAAATCAAGAATCCCTAAATGATGGGGATTGAAAATTTGAAATCATTTACAGTCATCATTTCTGTTCTATCTGTGGAAACAAATCAAGTAATAATAATAAAAGAATACAAATCACAATAAATACAAATAATAAGTTTACACATCAACTACCGTATTGCGCTTTGACATAGTCCTTGTCAGCTGCGCAGCAACACCAAAATCCCCTGCTCATTGTCAACCAAGAGTCTTAATGAGTTTGTTGTTACAAGTCCACGAATATTACTGCCTTAGATATGAAATATTGAAATATATATTTCAGTAATTGAAGAAATGAAGAAAGCATAGGGTGAACACAATGCTTCTCAATGGCTAAACTGCAATGCAACTTAAAATAAGAGTAATGTCATTGGTCAATTTTCACATGGTTCATTACTAATTTTTTATAGATAAAAATTAGTGGATATGTTTAGTTCCATGAAAAACTATTCAATACTTAGCAAGTATGAATTGGTAAAAAAAAATATAGTGGGAAAAAAACATTGAGAGAAACACTATATTTGACCATCTAATAAAGAAATTTGCATTATATTCTGCAGTTTTAAAAGGCATCAGCATTAACTTAGAGATGTCTATAACTCTAAACTTTATCTAGGAAGTGATATTAAAATATGAAAATCTGAATGCTATCAATCATTTTCAGTGAATATTGGAAATAGCCAAGTAGTGGAAAAATGTGTCAATTGTTAAATACAATGTCAGATTCTCCATCTAAACTCCCAATATTGATGCGGGCATGGGCATGTATCAATTAGAAGATATATATTAATAATTGGGCAAAACTCAAAAGACAAGGACAGTTCTAATTGTAGACACTGATGAATTGAAGAATATTCAATCGAAAATTTCAACTATGTGAAGAATATTAGCCTTATCGTTAATTGTGATCACAAGGGAACCAACTACTTGATCGCTTTGTAGTTGCAGTAATCATTTTGAATGGAAATTGTCTACGTGCAACCACTTTTTCATAGCAAAATAGCTTCTAGATGATAGCTTATACAACAGTTTAGGGTAGCTATAATTAGTCCATCTAAATCATATAAGTTAAGACATCATAGTTACTTGCAAAATAAGAATTCAACAAAAAATTATCACAAATGAGTGAATTTAACTTTAATTTGAGAAGAGGGTAAGAGCAAAAGAATCAACTAATTCAATGTATAGTAATATGGATTTTGTATGCAAGGCAACAATGAAAATCATAAATATAACTATTGTACTCACCTAGCTTGACATCTCCTTGTTCAGTTAATAAGATATTCCCACCTTTAATGTCTCTATGGACTTTAAAAATTGAGTGCAAATAATCAAGACCCTACACATAATTATGGAAACTATCAGGGAAAAAATAAACTAAAATAACAAACAGGCACAGCAGAAAACTTGGTTCAAACAATTCTATTGAAATATTTTGCTCTCCGAATTCTATCTTAAGCAATGAACAATATTTAAGCTGGAAACCTTGGTAGAAGTCAAACAACCAGTGCTATACCTTCAGTGCTTCTCTACAGATATATGCTATTTGACCCTCATCCAGTGCTTCATCAGTCACACTCATCAGATCAGCAACACTACCACCACCACAGTATTCCATCACTATCTGCCAAAAACTTAATCAGAATTCAGAAAACATATTTTAACAGGCAACATTAAACTCACCACTTGGATTAATTAAGAAAGTTCATACAAAAGATGGGTAGCAAAAGACGACAGTTAAGAATTAGGATTTAAAAAAGAGGCCCTCATGAAAAAAGCAAGAACAAACAAAGGCCAAACAAGAAAAAGCATGCCAGTCTCTGTTCATATTTCCCTCTAAACAAATAATTACCCTGTCACCATAACAATAAGGAAACCCAAACTAAAAAAAAAAAAAAACATCACCACCATTGCTCACAAGTCACAAGTCATAAGAAAACTCTAAATCTAGAACGTGTTTCACAAAAGCAGTGCCACATGAACAACGAGTGGAGGTTAAAAAATTTGCCTTCTTACCCAAAGATACTCTTCTCCTTGATAGCTTCCAAGATAACGGACAACATTTGGATGATTACATTGTTGTAACATTTCAATCTCACCACGGATTTCCTCATACCCCTCCTCCTAATAAACACAATAAGCACCAAGTTCATTCACAACAGTTCAAACTCCATCTAATTAATCAAAATACCACAAGTGTCCGAATACAAAAGCAACGTGAAGTCATGAACTCACCCCTTCAGATAACGATATTACTTTAATAGCAACCATCTCCGAGGTTCTCAAATCCCTTGCTTTGTAAACAGCTCCATAGGACCCCTTCCCTGTCATCCAAAATCCACAAAAACGACATAAACACCACAATTACAACAATTCGCAATGCACGACCAATCAGAAAAGTAAAACACGAATGAAAATAAAAGGAACGAACTCGAATTGCTCTACCAAGTTCATTGAGCAATTCGTATTTAATCGTAGGGTCCTCTCTGGTAACACTTTCAGGGATCGAACTCGACGAAACCTTCGCTATTGAATGATGCCTTCCCTCATCGTTCTGCGAGGATCCACTCCCTTTCTTCTGCTTTCCTAATCCAAAATCTCCCATCCCTTGCATGCTTGCCACCGCTCTCTCCATCGTCGAACCGATGCCGCCGCCGCCGCCTCCTCCTCCTCCACCGGTCCGTCGCACCATGGTTCCGCTCACCGACTCTCTCTCGACGGGCTTCACGACGAACGTTGAGAATCCTCCGCCGTCGTCCTCGTCGTCCTCGTCGCCGCCACCGAATCTGTTCAGAGCACTCGCCTGAGCCGAGCTCCGAGCCTTCCAAGTCCCCGTCGGCGAAGCCAAACCGGAAGAAGGCCGATCTCGCGGCCGGCTCCGGTCGCTCTTCACGATCATGGTGCCGAAATCACCGGCGCCGTCGTCGTCGTCTTCGTCGTAGTCCATCGACGCCCCGCCGCCGAAGTCCTTGGGGAGGCGCTTGAGGAGCGGAGGGAGAGAGGAGTATTCATCGTCGTCGTCGTCGTGGCCGTTGTCTTTGTAGACCATTGTAGCGTAGAGATCTTCCTTCGGTTGCGCGCCGCCGGATTTCCGCCGGCGGTAGGATTCTCCGTCGTCTTCGCCGTCGTCATGGACGACGAAGGTTGAGTATATGTCGGAATTTGGTCGGGATTTTCGGGTTCCGGTGGAGAAAGAGCTCCGATCCATTTTTTCACTCCGAGGGGGTAACGCAGAGTGAAGAAGGAATCGATGCTTTCACTCGCGACTTGTCACTACCGATGACGCAGAATGCATACGATGTTTCATGGGCTTTCGTTGGGCCTCATCCATTTTGGTCCGCTCTGCCTTATGGTACGGCCCATGGGCTTCCTAGGGCCCGTGCAATTCAGAAAATGACACCCCCAAACTTGAACAAAATTTCTTTGACCAAAAATTTTCTAGGGCCCATGCTTTGCATATATATTGTAAGGTGACACATTAAGGAAGTGTTTGGTATATGAAAAAGATTTTGTTTTTTCAGAGATCCAATATGAAAAATATTAATTTTTCATGTTTGATTTGTCATTTAAAATATAACATTAGTAGAAAATATTGTTTTTCGAAAATGCCTTTTGCATAGATTTTTCATAAAATTATTCTCATGAAAAGATGATAAACTAACTATTTTGAGGAAAAAAAAAAACTTAATGTAACAAAAGTGTTTTTTATTTAATACGGTCCTTGATTTCTAAATAGCATTTTAAAAATTTTTACAAAAACATTTATAACTAATCAAAAAAAATTATTTTAATTTTTAAGAATCATAATTTCCAAGATTTATAATTCTTAAAAATCATGTGAAACATGAAAAAATTTATCATGTAACAAATGTCTCCTTACATAATAAAAATAAATTCTATTGTGTTTCAAATATATTTTGTTACATATTCATGAATGTGATAAACTTTTTCCGACCGATAGAGGTGTGGAAGAAAAAGTGAATCACAATAATATAAAAAGTGTAAAACACTCTGAGTTTCTAAAAGTGTATGTCATTAACATTTTTATCCTTATAAATAATTTTTTTTTAAATAAATCCTTGAAAGTTCTGGTTATATTATTTAAGCCATTAAAAATAATCACGTATTGTGATTTTAACTACTAAACATATATTAAGTAATATTATTGTTTAAATCACTTTTTTTTTTTTAATTTTGGACTAAAATGAGTAAAATTTTATATTTTTAAGAACTTTTTTTGCATTTTTATATTTTTCAAGGATCAAAGTGTTAATGAGATACATTTTCAAAGATCTGAATCGTATTTTACCCACATAAAAAAAAAAAAAAAAAAAAAAAAAAAAAAA